TGATCCGTGATAAAAAACATCATCATGTACTCATGGCTATACTAACAATAGCTGTATTCTTCTGTCCTGACGTTAATTCGGTAATTGCTACAGTTATGGAAATATAATTATGTTCCGCCTTCATACAGTCACCATTGAGTATTCCGCACCTAAACACATCTTTGTTTTATTCTTATGCTTATGCTTACCGCAAACGAAAATCCATCCCGTTGATGCAAAAAATAGAAAATATACAGGGAAAAAATGCTGCCTTTAACGTAGAAATAGATGGTCTTTCAGCGTTTTAAAAATGTGGTAACTAAGGTACTTGTTTATATTTGTGAGGATCAGTTCGCCACTTGCATTGTTAACTTGACCAAAACGGAACATATATAACCATGAGACAGGAGTACATGTGTGGTAATGTTTATCGGGCTGCCGCTACATGCGCATGCATTCGTTCTTTTCTTTGATGTGGGCAGATTCGTGATTAGCAAATAACCGCAATGCAGGATAATATAAGTGATATTCAGCGACTTTCACAACATTGAGCTGAGACCCAAATATCAACCAATGTTCCCGCCCTTCGTCCGTAGATTGTTTGCTTTACAGTTGATAGTTTGCTGTTTAATAGCAGCGACCTCCTTTCCAAGAACAGAAAACAAATCAAACCGCTGATGTCTCGTATGGTGTATGATAATCTATTTACTTTGGTTTGGCTAGTTTTTTCAGAGACCCTCTGTTTTCTCTTTAGAGATAGTCGAGCACGCTTGTGAAAATAAAACCGCGGGGGATTTATTGACCGCACTGAGCAAGGGGGTGGGCAAAGGAGTAAATGGACGCTTTGGTGCTCTCTCTTCGCTCGCATGCTCACCAAATTGTCCAAAAAAGGAAAGGAAAACGTTTTTGAACAGGTTATGGGTTGATTGGCAGCGAACGGTGTTTCTTGAAGGACGACCATTGGATGAACGACACAAATTCAGGGTTAATTTTCATGTGACAACTCATTTGTTTTGTTAACAAGAAGCCCAGCAGCCTGCAGAACGATTTTAAAACAGTCACGCTTAAAAAAAAAAATGCAAAAATGGATATTTAAAAAATATATGGTGAACTTTAGAAGCTAGAACCTGTTTACAAGGAAGAGGGTGTTGTGGAACCACATAAAGCAATTCTTTCCCACTAACTTTGTGATCCGGCAAACAGCACGCAACATTTACCGTTCCAGTGCACTCTTTAAGGCCACCTGAATAAGGCGTCGAGTTGTCTCATTGCTAACGTGGATTTCAGGACAAAATGTCTCGTTTTTTTCAGACAAAATGTTTTAGTGATGGTGGCGGTGAAAGTTTTTTTTTCTCTCGGTCGAGACCTGAGTACTCTGAGACGTCGATCAACTGTTTTGAGTTTCCATATTTTTTCCCGCGCTCTGCCAGAGAAGGTCTTTGCTTATTTCACCCGATGAACATTCCCAATTTCGCTAAGATTGGAGGATTTGAATGTTGAAACAACATGAGCTAACATGGTCTGGCTGAATGAAATGCCCGAGACACTCGCTGTATAATTATGTAAGCTAAAGTTAGCAAAGGAAGACGTGAGCGATCTGTCAAGGAGGAAGTCAAAGAAACGAAATATATCAGGTATCTACAGAGAAAAATATAATCAATCTGAAATAAGAATCCTCTCGGAAAGAGAATATTGTGTGAATGTGGATTTTTAAAAGCTGCAGTTCTAAATTCATATCGCTTGTCCTTATATACTATTCAAAAGATTCAGAGCTCTGTCTCAATTGACGATCGACTCTGTTGCGAGCAAGTGTAAACTATGTCTAACTCAAACCCTGTTTAACCCTTTAACTTCTTGGAGTTATCAACATTTAATTTCTCCTTACCGTAACACTGGTCAAACAAACATGTAGGTCATGAGAAAAAAGGAAAAGATCAACAGATTCCCAGGGTCTCAAGTTTTTAGTTAAACAAATTTTCTTCACCAGTTCGGAGATATTAGGGTTTAACCCGTTTATTCCAGAGTACAATATATATGGAGTCTTTGTAAGGTATATCTGTAACTTTTGAGTCTGTGGACGAATTAATCCTATCCGGGCGTGACCATTTAAACCATGCATCAAAGTTCTTTGGCAGCGGCACTTCACTAGACACTGCTCGTTTTCAGTATATTTTACAAAATAACATTTGAACATCCTGTTGAATATTGACTGTCGTTACCTTTGGAGAGAAACATTTTAAATAGACCGGTCTGGGCAATTTTTTTCCTTCTTGGCATTGCTCAAAATCAAAAGACGTTTAGAGTTCGACTTGGTTTTGCTAATTAACACCTGCTATGTTTTAATACTGAACCAGCCCAAAGATTTGCTCTAGGCTCTGAAATTTCCAAGTCAATGAAGATAATTGAATCATATAATTTATGCAAAAGCTAAGTCTATGAAAATACTTTAGTAGCAAAATAAAAACGCGTGTACGGGGATGTAATACATACAGACTATAGCTTCAACTAAGTACGGTTTAACATGGATGACGCTTCCTAAGTCTGGTAAAACTTAATGAGGTTGGCAACTAAGGAACTTCGAATGAGTTCATTAAATTGATGATGAAATCCCACGAATGTCTGTCAGAACCTCATAAGAGAAAAAGGGAGTTGAAATTACTGCAGTTTAATGCTAGCCCTCTCATCGATAAATTCTAAACCAATGGAGATACTCTTTGCCAACTGGTCAACTTTGAATTAGCTGTTTAAAAATCGAGAGAAACATCTTTCTTGCCCCAAAAGTATCCAAAAATGGACACGTTACTCAGCGAGTACAAAACCAGTCAGTTGTGAAGCCTCTTAAAGCACTGTTTGCCACTTAAATTGTATTCTGACACACAGTCACTGAACAGTACGCAATATTGATCGTTCCAGCCGGCACTCTTTAAGGCTGTCTGAATAAGGCGTCGGGTGGTCTCATTGCTTTAATCTTATGATAGACAGTCCTTAGCAGAGGTGGATTTGAACACGATAAACGTCTTAGTTTTCAGATGAATTGTCCCAATGTCTATTAGTACCAAGGGTGCTGCGAACGAGCTGCAGGTCAAATCTTGCCAATGTCGAGTATGCAGCAGGGGAAACTCACTTCATCCCTTATCCTCTTTTCCTTGAACTTATTCCGTTGTATTGTCACCCTACTCATCAGAACCCCCCCAATCCCATAGTACGCAATTCCAGCTACGCAGAAACTCAGCTTGGGTTTGGGCCAACATTGGGTTTAAATTCCCGATATGTTTTCATCGGCCAACACTTCTCAAGATAAAAGAGTAAACAGAACCTTGCCTTACAAGGGTTAAAATCTACCCAACCAAAATGCTATTAAAAACTTTACTGCAAATACTTGTAGATAGCTCAACCATGTAAAAGGGAGTACCCCCCTCCCACGACACCACTCCCTCCCCTGCTGCCCTCCCTTAGGAAGGCCCCAATGTACTGGACGGAGAAATATCTTCTATGGCTATTTTTCTGAAATACAACGGGAGCAAAATCTTGCTCAACAGATAAAAACTTTCCATTCGCAAACAGACATGTCGATGGCAAATTCATGGATCAGTGGCCTTCAGGGTCTTCAGGGTCTTTATGTATGAAGCCGATAAATATTGTTTGCATTTTATTGAATCTTATTGATTTATCACGGTGTGATTTTCGATTAAGTAATAAAGCTGTTATGCAATTAGGGTATTCACGTGTATTGTGAGTAGAGCAAAGTGCTTTTGTAAAACTGTGTAAAGTGTGACAGGCTCAAGAAAGCGCTGATGCAGGAAAGTAGGTTAGAGCCTCCGTTTCCGCTTAAATAAAACATGCCGGTCCATAGTACATCGATGTAATTAGTCATACATCGACAAGCAACATAAAATTTTTGAAGGACCGTTTATGCTAGGAAAGTCAATCAGGTAGTTTAAGGAGAGGTTTTTGCGGCAGATATCAAATTGAGAACAACCGCGTTAGAACCAATCTCGTACAACTTTTAGTTACTATAGATTGCATTATCATACACGGTTTCTAATGTATATCCGAGTTTTTGGCATTACTAATTAAAAAGTATTTCTTGGGCTTTCGATGGCCAGGATGGAAACTGATGCAGCGTAAAAATTTTCAAATTAGAGTTCTTCCCATCTAGTCGAGGCAGCCCCCTCCCTCTCCCTCTTTCTGTTTTTTTTAACTTTTCAGTTATAACTCTTTTATTTATTTCTTTACTTTTCTACGGATAGCCTGAGAACAATTTAGCCTGAACAATAGTGACCATCCGAAATAACTTTCTCACTCTGCTGTAGTGTTGGGAAAGGACATTCTTTTCAAATAGATGTGTTTTTATTCTAACAAAATAATTACAGAATGTGGTATTTGCATAATGAATCAAAATATCACAATTTAGCTTGAAAAAATAGTAAATAGAAAATGATTGTCTCGATATCTTTCGTACAAAATTCCAGTGGGGAAATATAATTTGAATTGTGAATGTTATAACCAACGCATTCAGTACATGGGATCTTTGCTAAGACGGAAAGGAAGACTGTTCATTGCAAACAGTTGCCTAGTCCTACATTTGATCTATTAAGAGGTGGCTGACACTGAGTCTGAGATTTTAGTGCTCCTTGATGCAGCCCTTAGAAAGGAAGCTCTGTAACTTGTCAGAAAAACTCTAAAATTGTCCTACTGCAATACGCGGTTGAAACGTCGCGATCAATATCTAAGTGCCAACCATGAGACAGATGATAAACGAAACCCTTTAAACTGGAAAATAATTTGAAATGTCTATGATCTTGTTTAGAGTACATTTATAGATTAAACAGCGAAAAGAGAAGACGGTCTTTAACATCAAAACCAAATGTTCCGCTTGTCTTCTACCGATCTTTAAACGCTTTTTGACACTGATGCCAAAATTCTACACTGAATTATAAAAAAGCACCACATCAAGCTAATTCAACACTCAAATAACCAACGATAAGTTTCTAATAAGTGTTTGTTTGCCAGAGTTCTTTTCAATTTCGTTCTTCTATTTTCACGTAAAACTTCTGTGGCACCAAGGTAAGACCAAATTCACCCTGAAGATTAATGCCCTTATAGTCGGCTGGCAAACCATCCTGAGTGAAGCGGAAGCTGTGAAGCAATGCGGCAAGCAGGACAGAAACTTGTTTGGTGGCCAGAACATCACCAGGACATTTGCGACGACCGCAGGAGAACGGCATAAATCCTCGGAAGAACTTGGGATCGATCACTTGTCCTGCTCCATCCAGGAAACGTCTAGGATCGAAGACATCTGGATCTTTCCAGATTTCTGGATCGCGATGCACTGACCACAGATTGACCATGACGACCGTATCTTTAGGTATGGTGAAATCCCGGATGTTTGTTTCAACGGTCGTGGAGCGTAGAACGGAAAGAGGAGCGATAGAAGTCACTCTAAACAGTTCGTAGACTGCTGCTTGAAAGAAGGGAAGTGATGGCATGTCTTGGAGAGTGGGCAGGCGTTCTCGGCCGATCACGAGGTCTAATTCTTCCTGTATCTGGGTCTGGATCTCGGGATATTTAGTGAGGTATGCCAAACTCCAGTGAAGAGTAATGGCCGAAGTGTCAAACCCAGCACCAAATAAATCTCCCAACACCCGGATAATCTGTTCGTCACTAAGCAGAGGAGCCACATTTAACGTGTCCTCTCCTTGTGGACGATTTTCTCTTTCTTTTTCAGTTTCCTTTTCGACGACGTTGATAATACTGTCTGCGATGTTACGAACTTGTCCCCCAACATAAGTCTCTGTATTTTTGGCATACAACTGGGAAATGACATCCAACACAGATTTGACTGCAGCGTTAAGATCTGAAAGCGCTTTACTAGGCAAATGTTTTAGCAATGGCAGGAAATCAACATGGCTGCAAGCTGTTATAGCAACTCGGAAGTTATGAGCCAGTTGAAGCATGTTATGGACAGCTTTGTTGCTGTATGACCAGCTGACTCCGAACAGTGCATCGGTTATTATGTTGGAGGTAGCGCACTGCAGAGGTAGGTGAACATCTACGAGTTTCCCTTTCTGCTGCTTGAGACAGTGAACCAGGCGTTGAGATTCCTGAAGCAGTTTCTGTCCCAGGGTATCTTTGTCCTTCACGAAGTTCTGGATCGCACTTACACCGATCTTTCGAGAAAGACGCCAACGAGGTGAGTAATCCGTGAGCGTGATGCTGCTATCTGTTCGATTGGCCAGCTTGAAGGTGTGCAGTTGTGGCCTTCCAGCAAAGGCAGTCGACTGCTTGATCAAGGCTTCTTCGATGGCGTTGAATCCGTTCAGCACCACGACCAAACGATTTCCAAGCATTAGGCTGAATACATCGCCATATTTCTGGGCCATTTTGTGAAGTCAAGATGTGGGTTCTTTCCTAAGCGGAAACATGACCCTAAGAATAATAATAAGAATGCATTAGTTGAAATACGGAAAATGTCGAAAGCTGACGTATTACAACTGTGAAATTGTTGAGTATAGCCTGGAGGGTTCTCATGATATTTACAACAAACGTTTCGTTGTTGTGTGAAACTGTTGGGAAAGCGCTTTTTACCTTTATCAACAAAAGAGAGTGAAAAACTACATTTGGAGACAAGGACAAACGGTTTAAAAGTAGCTTGCTAGCTAACTGCTAGGACATAATTAGTTTAACCGGTAAGCGGTGTTGAGAATGTTTCATCGGAGTGTGGCCGGAGCTAGAGAAAAACAGGAAGTAGTATAAATACAAAATTGAGAAAAAGAAAGAGACGACATTGTGATGCTGTTGGGAATATCTTGAAATTTTAACATCATGTTAAAAGAGAACCTGTTCCAGGAATGAACACAGAATGATATGTCCCAGAGTTAGTCAAGGAATCAGTTATTGCGCGACGTCTGTATGTGCTATTTTGCTTATCTCAGAGCGGGTTAACCTTCCTTTTCGGCTGATTACATAGCATTACCTCTACCTTTTTTTCATTTTTAAAAGGGCCCTCCGGGGTGGATATAAATAGACGTTGTTTTTTTTTTCTCTTGGCAAAAGTCACGCGTTGAAGCTGTTAAGAAATCTTAGGAAAGGGGCTAAGCCAAAGCAAATCACTTGCTCTTCCTTTAATTTTTTTCTTTTTCAAACCGATACTTCGGGGCCGACTTGAGTAGATGTTGTTTTCTTTGTTGAGGCAAAAGTCACGCGTTGTGCTCATTAAAGGAACTGCTTATGAAAGGGGCCAAGCCGTGGTCAATCATATTCTTTAATAGCAAAGCCGTAATGCAAACAACAATTTTCAGTATCGATATCGTTCATGCTATGCGATAAAAGAGTATGAAAAGGAACGCCCTTGAAAAAAAAGGCGCCGTAAGCAACCCGTGAGTTTCGTTCGAAAGGTTTAAAAAGAACACCTCTTTTTTAGGAACGCCAATCTGTGGTGACAATATAGCCTACACAAAAATTCAGGAAACCCATTGTCTGGAGCCTATTGATACTAGAATGCACGATTTTTTTTCTAGTTTCATATAGGAAGCGGTTTTGGTCGATGTCGCTTCGTAATCTCCCTGAACTTAAGGAAACTGGCACGATATGCCCTTGACGTCTCTGAAATTAGTAACGGCTTAAGCGATGCGTGCAATATAAATAGGGTTGCCACTATACATTGTCAATTGTTCTTTTGTTGTGGGTATGTTTGATAATATGCAATAAACGTAAGGATAATAGACCATTGATATCAGCTTCTCTTGTTTAAGGTCAAGCAGCAGGAGCTTACAAAATTTTGTAACTCAGGATTGAACTAATTACTGCAGATGTGTGGTAGCCACTTAATTGCTCGGTTTCCCACATTTTGTTCAGCTGAGGTTTGCACCGTCATGTTTACTAATCTTTGTGGTTGGTAAGTTCGATGATGTCGCAAAAGCTGTCACACACGATGCAACTTTATTGGAGAAATTTGTGTTAGTTTGCAAAACAAAATCCGATGAGCAACAAGCGTTTTAAAATCGGTCATTCTTCACAGTCTGTTGATTTCTTCTCTGGATTACTTTGTAGTAGTCAGCAAATAGTGCTTTATTAGAGAGACTTTCTAAAGCACCATTTAAACGCGCTACGCTAAGTTAGTATTGCGTCTAATTTAATTTTAATGTCAATAAAGTACCCACTATCCTTTATTTCTTTTAAGCCTCCTTTTTTATTGGCTTTTCAAATCTCTATAGTGTTCGCCACAATTAGAGTTCTTAAGGAAAATTGGAGGTCAAGTCTCCTTAACCGTCTTGCAAACTACGCTGTTCTTAGTGAGCGACATTCCGTAGCCTCTCAATTCCTTCAGAAATCCACTGAAATGGCGATGTATAGACTCAAATAAATCTTTTTCAACCCCAGCGGTTAAATCTCTCCGGTAAGATTTCCTCATATTTTAAATAGACTCAGCTGGACCGGTGCGTCGTGTGCGTTCTTCTCCTGTGTTAAGAAATCTTGAACAAAACACAGGTGCATTAACTGTTCGAAAAAGTAAATCTTACGTAGAAATTTCTATAACTCGTGAAAGGCTTACTGATAAACTTTCTAGATGACTGTTCCATTCATTGTCGGCGTGTGGTGCACGGAATTTGAGTCGCATTTCACGATTTTGTTCGTTACAGAGGACCCCTAAAATATTTGGCTTGGAACATGACGAACATAGTGACGGAAGGTATGAGAATATCTCACATTTTCGTGACCCTTAAACTGCATCTATGATGTTTAGGAGAACAATGAGAAGGCTCTCAGTAATAAATTCGTAAAGAGCTGTTCAGTAAAAGTGGGTGACAATTACGGTGAGAAGTGACGCTTTTAATATAAAGAGCACTGTCACGGGAAATGAACAAACTCAAAGATGTATTTATTATAAATGGCTGCAACAACTTAGGATCATTTCTTTTCAGTAATTATATGAGGCGAAGATGACGGAAATAAGTTTTTCGAAAGGTCAGCCGACAACTGAGTCTACAAGACAAATAGGTAATTTTTTTACGCAGCACGGGCGTGCGCCCCGCATGAGTGTGCCTATTGAGACTCCGAGATCCCAGGCTTTAAAAACTGTAGCAAATGGATTAATATACTACTCAGCGAGGGATCTCATGGAAGCGTTTTTCACAAAAGAAAAAAGAACTTTTTTTTCTTAGACGAATACATCAACGGGAGTAGACTAAATAAGAGAAAAAACAGCAGCATGGTGCCCTAATGTTGTTTTTTGTTACGGTCATTTTTCCGCTGGAGCGTTAAAATAGTTATCAGTTATGAAAATTCTTTCTTGGCTCTTGCAGACTCCTGTGTTTTTAAATAAATTTGTTCACGCGGAAGCACTCTTGTGTCAACGAGTTTAATCTCCTATATTTGCAAAGTTTAACCAGCTCTCTTGTTTCTTGTTTTGTCACAAGGGGCTCAAGTCAGTTTTCTTGTTTTTTTTCTTAGCTTTTGTTTGCAAATTTGCTAGCTCTGCGAATGTGGCGTCCAGACAAGCTGCTCCTTCCTAACTTGGATTCCCTGAGTACCCTTAGTCTTTTTACTCCCCAGTGGAACCTAATTAGGTAGATGTAACTTTCAAGCCTGTGGACGGATCTTGAAGTATGACTATTGAAATAAAACTTTAGCAGTACTTTCACATGATACTACATTGTAAAGCTGTTATGAGTAAAAGAGGTGACTGTCTCTTGAACTGGCCCTTCCCCTTGCCTGGCTGGCTACTTCCACGTTTACGTCTTTAGTTAAAATGATTACTTGCTTCTCGGAAAAACATTTGACAGTTCTAGCGTGTTTACTATCAATGTTGATGTTGAACTAGAGAAAATTCGTAAGGGAAATTGTTTTAGTTGTCAAGCACTCGTGAGACTCACTATGCGGATTGAAACTATGCAAGTGGGTGAGGGGGTATATTTTAAGGCACCTTATTGCTCATTTATTTAAACACCCACTTTTTCCACTAGAAGTTTAAGAGTTGTTTAAGTTCAAAGCATTTCAGTGTTGTACACCAGCAAAGCTGAGCGGAAAGTTCTGTTGGTCTTAATTTCATTCTCAGTACCTTTACAAAGTAGTCACGGATTTTATTACTCTTATTTTTTGTCAATGGGTTGTCTTTGTAAAATGGATATATCGCTCATTTCTTCTTCTAAAATCATATACGAACCAGTTCTCAGAGGATAACCTGCTAAGTAACAATGGGATAATGGCATATTGCGCCATCTCATCAAAATAAAAAGCATACGTCAGACATATTTGGTCAATCCTCGCTGTTGAAAAAACTGTCACTGAAAATAAAGGTTGCCTCGTCACTATTGTACTTCGCTAAGAGCACGCAATATTCACCTTACTCGTACGCTCGTGTCATGCAATGGACTGGCCTCCTAATTATACATTCATTATGCAGTTTTATCAGTTGAGAACAAAGACCCTTTCTTGCCGACAATTTTTTCTTCAGAACAATGTTAGAGTTTTCATGTTTTACAATTTTATCGACCTTAGGAATAAATTTAAGTTGGAAGGTTTGTTCAGAGAGCGGGACGTTGGTGTGAGCTTAACAAAACCGCAGAGTTTGTGGAGAACCTGCTCAGAAACAAATCTGACTGCAAACTTGGTATTTTAGATGAACTACAGACGTGACATTTTTTTAACAGCTTACAAGTACATGAAAATCAAAACGTTAGTTTCTCAGTTGTTTCTTGGGAATTGTTTTCAGTGTCTTTGTGCCGATGTCGTTAAGTTAACTATATTCGGCCTCTAGTTTTCATGTTACGGAATTTAAACTTTTGAAAGGAGCGCTAGTAGTGACTTTAAAACTTGTGAATAGTCCTTTTGTCGATTTGGTTATTATTGACGATTCTCTAAAGCATAAAGCCAGGAATTTGACGATTTAAGGAAGAAATCTCAGTTCTTACCTATCAAAGGCAGACCCCAGGGCCCGGGAGGAAGCTTTGAAAAAGAATGTTCCCAAATGGCTTTTCCAGAGAGAAACACACAAATCAGCAAGCAAAGTAGCAAAATCTGCCCAAAAGTGGATACATCTTCAGTGGCAAACAGAAGGCTCATCCTGACAGCTTGAACGGGAGAAAAGTGAACAATTGTCTACAGTGTTCGTGTTAACACCCTGTATCGCCGGCGTCCAAGGTTCATATGGTCTCAAGAGGAATTGAGATTGAGTATAAATATGCGACAAATTGTTTACACACCTGATTGACCCACTAGTTATTGATGGCTATTATCACGCTTTTATTTTCGGGTCAATAAGAAGACGGTAATTTATTACCGCACGTTTTGAGTGAGTGCTCTTTGTATTCTCTGGTGTATGCTACCTCGGGACGTGCTTCTAATAAAGTACACTTAACTTTATCGGCACTTCACATAGTTA